GGTGTTGTTGTTTGATGGTATTAAAGGTATTGTCTCAAAATGTCAGCCCTTCCGAGGCAAGCTGTTCTTCCGCAGGTGACTGATGGCGATTTTGTCAATGCTGCTGGTGTTCAAGGGCTGCTTTGGAGGTTTTTTCATGGCACCAAAGCATCCATTACTGTTGGTGTGAGCCTTGCTTTCTTTTGCCAGTCATTCAACTTCTATTTGCAGCTATTTGTATATTGGATTTCTCCAGTTTTTCTGTTCTGTGTCTCCAGGTATGCAACATCCATTATTCAGATTTTTTTTGCCTGTCTTATCAAAAATTGTAATGTGTGGAATGTTACGTGGCTGGTCTCTGTTGGTTTGCATGTTAAAGTCCCAGAGCTCTTTAGAGCGTCTTCGTTTTCTGTGACTGTCTCTGTTTTATGATGCCTGCAGGCAAATGGCATTCCTTGCAGCTATTCCAAGGCACCGTGGTTGCTACCTTGTCACGCCGTGGCTTGTAGTCAGTCCTAGCGATCTTCTCGTGGGAGCGAATGAAGCGGCCCGCTCTTTCTTCAGCTTCTTTGCAGAGGTGGCATTTGCTGTTTGTTGTGGTCTTCTCAGTGCATTTGTCCTCAAGGCTGGGTCTTGTGTGGCCAGTATTAGCCTCTCGGTCTCTCGTGTCTTTTTTCGGTTCTTCATTTGGCCTTTCTTGTAGGCCAGTTTGGCCTCTCCAGTACCCAGTAAGCCTTCCTGGCATACTAGCTCCAGTGGGTCTTCTTCTCTGTCCTTCAGATGTTCTTCCAGTGCCCCGTCTGCAAGTTTCTGATGTGCTTGCAACATCCCCCGCCCGTCTATTTTCCTTGGTAAGTAGCGCCTGTCAGCATGGCTGTGTGGATTGTGGATTCATTGTCGTCGTTTTGCTGGTCTTCCTGTCCTGGGCTTTTAGTTCTGCTTGAGTCCAGCTGACTGTTCCCTCTGCGCAGGTGGTGACTGGAATTGCCCAGGTGTCGATTGCCTTGGCGGTATTTTCTCCTCTGAGTTTGGACCTTAAGATCTTTTTTCACTCTCCTGATACCTCCTTTTCTAACCTTCTCCTTGACTTCAGTGTGCTTGACGTTGTCAGTCTGAAGGATGCCCAGGTGGTGGTGGTGGTGATTGTCTTCATCCAGACTCTTGGTGTTATTTCAAGAGGGCATCTGGATTCCTTCAGATTCCTTCAACTGGATCAAGGCGCCACTCTTAGCATCAACATTCTGAGATCTGCTCAGATAGTGGCATAGTTTCCCCCACCCAGTGAGGACGTCACAGGGTCTGGGGCTGCGCTTGTGGGGAAAGAGCAGTTGCCCCATAGCCTCTTTGGGGACAGAGGCCGGCCTCTCTCTTCCAGGGGTCTCCCGTGGGTTTATTCAGTCTTAAATTCTTTCAGGGAGCATCCGTTCCACCTTTACGGTGGAGCTGCCGTAGGCCCCTAATTCTCTACTAGCTCCGGAAGAAATGGGGAGGCCGAGGCTTGCTTCTCAGAGGCGGCCTCCAAAACCAGCCTAGACCCAGGAGCAGAGGGGGGGGGGTGGGAGCCCTCCGGCCCCTTTGGAGGTCGTGCTGAGCTCTGAGCAACGGTCCTGATCGCTGTGTAGAGACGGTTGGCGAAATGGGTGCAGTTAGACCAGACCAGGATGGGAAAGCCCACTGGGGGTGAAATCACAGGCAAGGTTTCAAAAGTTTAGGAGCCCCCCCCCCCGTTCGTTTCCTGCGCTGCCTCCCGTTTGTTTTGGACTGCAAAACATCTGTGGGTGGCGCTCGTAGCCCAGCGCGGTAGTTCTTTGCCTTCATCCCTGTTCACTGCAATTGGCGTGAAGTCCACACCTTCGGGGCTCCACCAGCAACCCACCCCTTAACCTAGATGGATTTAGAGTTGTCAGAAGGTTTTAAACTAAAACTGGATGGGGGGGGGAAGCCAGGTTGTAGGACCTGACCCCAAGCATAAGCCTCAAGGCCAGAGGTCCGCAACCCTTTGGGTACCAATTCCACGGAGAGAGGTTTTTCTGCGGACCGGAGGGGGCGTGGTCTTGTGTGCTTCCTGCATCCCGCGGATGGGGCTGTGCTTGCGTGTGTGGACCAGTTGCTGGCCTGCCGTAGCCCAATACTGGTCCACGGACCGGGGTTGGGGACCCCTGCTCAGGGCAGTCGCCTGAATGTTAAGAAAGAAGGGGAACTCAGAAGCCAAGGCAGGGTCAGTCAAAAAGGGCTCAGAGGCCTGCACACGAACCCTCAAAGTATGAGGAACAGCCGGGGGGGGGGGAGACTTGAAGTCCTGGCACACGAGGGTGGGGCATTGTTGCCATTAGTGAAACTTGGTGGGATGAAGCGCGTGACTGGAATGTACAGCTAGAAGTATTTAAATTGTTCAAAAGAAACACACCTAACAAAAAAGGCAGTAGAGTTGCACTATATGTAAGAAATAACTACACCTCTACAGAAATGCAAAAAAAAAAAAAAAAGTGAAGGATGTAACCTTCTTGAATACATTTGGATTAACATCGGGGGGGGGGGGGGAAATGACACGGTCATAGGTGTATAGTAGAGGCCGCCCAACCGGAAGACATAGAGGAACTTTTTACTAACCAATTAGCTAAAGTGTGCAGGAAACACACTACAATAATAATGTTTAACTACTATCAACGTTTAACTACTATCAACTGGGAGACAAACTTTGCACCTAGTGGGAGATCAAACAGATTCCTGACGAACCTAGCTGACAGCTTTGTCTCCCAAAAGGTAAAGAAGGAGATTAAAAGGTCTTAATTCTTAGTAACAGAAATGAGATGATAGATGAGGTTGAAGTTGTGGGAACTTTGGGGCTGAGCGACCACGTCATATTGGAATTCAATATAATGTAGACACAAGCAATATAACAAAATCAAACTAGCGTCTTAGACTTTAAGAGGGCTGATTCCAACAAACATAGAGCTTGGGAAATATTCCATGGATGAAAAAGGGAAAACAACTCGAGAAGCTTGGGAAACTCTGAAAAATGAGATTATAGAAGTCCAATACAATACAATAGCACTGAAAAAGTAAAATAAGAGATCGTAGAAGAAATTAGCATGGTTGCTTAAGAACTCTCAGATAAACTGAAAGACAAAAAGGACAAGTACAAAAAATGAAAAGAAGGACACATAAGTAAAACAAAATAGCCTGAATCTGCAAAGACAAAGTCAGGAAAGCTAAGGCTCAGAATGAACTAAGACATGCAACAAATGTCAAAAATAATAACTAAAAAAGTTTCACCATATTAAAAAAGTCAAGAAAATGATTGACCCGATAATGGGAGAAGATGGCAAGGAGGTGACAGTTTTCAGGGAGAAAGCAGAACTGCTTAATTCATTCTTTGCATTTGTTTTTAGGAGACAAAAAAAAGGGGAGGGGGGGAAGGCCAGTCTATCAAAAGCAGTACTGTAAAAGACAGACCAGGAATGCAGGCCAAAATAGGTAAGGAAAACCAAAGGCACAGGTGTAGAACAGGCTCAGCAGTAGTGCCGGTAAATGTGAGAGGGATTATGGAGTCCCAAGGCAGGAGTCCCAAGGCAGGAGTCCCAAGGCAGGCGTCCCAAGGCAGGAGTCCCACTACCGGGCCGTGGTCTGCTGGCCAGTGGGCCACGGAACAGGCCGGCCAGTGTGCGCATGTGTGCGCGTGCACTCACCCCCACTCGTGCTAGTGCAGCCGCTAACAAATGGGGCGCTGCCTGGTGAAAACGGGGCACCGTGCAGTGAGAACGGGCGCCACACGGCAAAAACGGGGCGGTGCTAGTGAGTGTCATGTGGGTGGTAGCACCGCCCCTGTTTGCATTGCGTGAGGAAGACTGGAGTCCTCAGTCCCAAGGGACAGTCGCTTCAGGGTGAGCCAGCAGTGTCCGGCGATGGCAGCCAACACAGCCTTGATAGAGGAACCATACCAAGATGAGGGAAAGGGATAGGTGATGAGGGGAAGGGCAGACCTGGAATGCTGCATCCACTGCTGGTCAGCCTAACACAAAAAAAGATGTTGAGGCTCTAGAAAGAGTGCAGAGAAGAGCAGCAAAGGGGGCTGGGTATGCTTAGCCTGTTGAAGAGAAGGATAGAAAGAGAAGGGGTAGCAGGGAAAATGCCGAGGAGGAGGAAAGAAGAGGCCGGGTGGGACTCTTCAGGCTGAGCTGCCTCCCATGGCTGAGTGGTTTGGTTTCTGTTTACTTCAAGAGGCCTTTGTTTATTGGCCAGGATTTATGGGCAGGTAATCCTGGAGTGAGCCTGAACTTCCCTTGCTCAGCAGGACAGCTGCTAAGCGATCTTTTTTTGGCCACGGTTCAAGTGAATCGCTGCCGTTGTTAAGTGGAACATGCGGTCGTTAAGTGAATCTGGCTCCCCCCATTGACTTTGCAAAAAAGTGACATCTTCCCCCCCCTCCCCCGGGACGCTGCAGCCGTCCTGCATACATGCCAGTTGCCAAGTGCCCAAACACGGGGATGCTGCAGTGGCCGTTAAGTGTGAAAAATGGCCATAAGTCGCTTTTTTCGTTGCAGTTATAACTTGGGACGGTCACTAAACGAAGGGTTTACCACCTTTTGTAGCAGAAGGGTGACGAGGAGCAAAACGTTTGCGTGCTTTTAAGAGCTCCGTAGTTGAGTTTACACCAGGAGTTTCTTCCAGGCTGTTGCCACAAGCTATTGCCCCCCCAATGGGTGACACTTGGGGGGGGGACAATGAGAGGGGGAGAGAGTTGGGGTGGTGTTCCCCCCGTACTCCCCACCCGGAGCGCGTCTGGGGTGCTACGCTTGAGGGAAGCCAAGGCAGAGCCGCTCTTTGTAAACGTGCTTTAACAACAGCATTTCCCAACCTTGGCCCTTTAAGAGGCCTGGGCTGCAGCTGGCTGGGGAATTCTGGGAGTTGGAGTCCACAAGCCTCAGGGCGGCCAAGGATGAGACAGGCTGTTTTCAAGGCTTCTTCCCTCCTCTCTCCCGATCCTAGGTTCCCTGGGACTGAGCTGAGCATCCGGCACCATGGAGAATGAAGAAAGCCTGCTCCAGGAAGGCGAAGAGGAGGAGCTGGTAGTTCCTTAATCCTCACCTCTTTCCCTCTCCTCCTCCTCCTCCCCCCCCCCCACTGCATGGCATGGACACACACACACACACACACACACACACCCAAGGTGCAGGAAATCGTTGAGCAGAGATTAAAGGTTTGCTGCAGCCATTCTGATCCTACCCCAGAAGAGCAAAGTCTTACCCGGATTCAACAGGCCCTTTTCAGCCCTGGAAATTCCCCCCCTCTCTCCCTCCCTCCCTCAGCCCAGTCTACCTCGCAGGGCTGTTTGGGGGAGATAAATACCCACAGAGACCACCTAGACCTGGGAAATCATGAGACAGAATCTAATACCCTCAAGCAGTCCCTCCCTTTCCCTCCCTCCCTCCCTCCCTCCCTCCCTCCCTTCCTTCCTTCCTTCCTTCCTTCCCCCTTTCCTGGGGAGGTGTGGAGGGCCTGGTTCCCACAGGTGACTTTATTCCCTCCAGAAAGCTGTGAGGCAAATTGCCCCTCAGGCAAGCTCCAGAAGGGCTTCTCCTCCCCCCAGGCTTCAAGGGCGGCCCTCAAAGGGCAACCTCGGAGGTCCTTGCGGGGAGCAGAGCGGCCCTTCGGCTGAGGCAGGAGCAGCCCCTTGGATCACAAGGGGCGCCATTGGGTGACTCCCTGTAGACCTCTTTGTAGACCTGCTGTCACTTTGGCCCACTTACATTTAGCCCCTTTGAGCTGGTCGCTCTTTGCAGTATTGTGGAGGGGATTCCTGGGGGGGGCACGGAGTCCGCTTAGGCCTCCTGCGTGCTTTCCCCCAAAATGGCGTTGAGGGGGAGGCCGGTAAGACCACTCCTCCTGCGCCAGGGCCACGAAAGCCCTTTGGTCCCACAGCAGCTGTGAGCCACCCACAGCCGGACTGCGGGGGGGGAACGTGCACTCAGGCCCCCTCCCCCTTCCACAGACACCCTGCTGGAACTGCCACCTGCTCCGCCTGCTCTCTTTCTGTGCAGAAGATCTACGGGTACAACTTCTGCCGCTGGAAGCTGGTCTTTGTGGCCGGAGGGGTGCTGTGCTCGGGCGGCCTCCTCCTCCTCCTCCTCTACTGGATGCCGGAGTGGCGGGTGAAGGCCACCTGCCAAAGGGCTTCGCTGAGACGCTGCCAGGTGGTCCTGCTGAGAACCACCGTAAGTCCGTGGCCTGGGGGGCCGTGGGGGTTGCCTCGGGGGCATCTGGAAAGGCTTTGCGGGTCGGGGCTGCCCCCGTCTGCTCCTCTGGATCCCAGAATTGTTCCTAACGCCAGGCAGTTGGACTTGCTTGTCTTTCGTCCTTCTCAGTAACAATAAGAATAAAAAGCAGAAAACCTGAAAGAAAAGCGAGGTTAGGTTCAGACAACATGCTAGCACCTAAAACAGGGTTGACAAAATGCAGTTTGTGGGGCCACGTAAGTTAATGACAGCTTAATGCTCAACGTGCCAAGACAATCGCTAGCGGTTCCCGCCCAGTCAAAAGAGCTGAGGGCTCTTTGAGCCACAAGAGAGCTGAGAGATTCAAGGTAAGAGGAAGGAGGAGGAGAAGTTGCGTTTTTATGGCTTTGGAAACTGGCAGCCATCTTGTGCCCTGAGTGACAGGAGGGTTGTGGAGAGAAAACGCGGCCAGGAGGATCATTTGAAGCTCGGGAAAGGCCTAGCACATACCCAGATGGGGAATTAAGAGACATCGGCTGCCGTGGAGAAGAGAAGGAGAAGAGGGTCGGGGTTAGGGCAGAGCCTCTTCAGAATTGGCCTTGGTTTAGGTTCAGAATCGGGCCCTTTGGCCTGATCCAGCCAGCAGTGGACCTTCTCAGGCCAGATGTGTCCGCTGGCAGCTGCCCCTAGGAGAGGCTCTCCGGGCTGGCCTCTGAGCCCCTGCCACCTGTCCTGGGCGGCTCCGCCTTTCCCGCCTGGGCCCCAGAGAGTCTGCTCTAGGGCCTGGCCAGGCCTGCCAAGCCGGCCCAAGCAGGTCCCAAAGGGTCGGCAGCCGGACCTATTGGGTCTCCTGTGGTTCCAGGAACTCCTCCTCAAAACCTCCCTCCCTCCCTCCCTCCCTCTCTCCAAAGGACGAATTCCAGACCTGGTTCTGCGCAAAGGTCCGCACCGTCTTGTCCCTGGGGCGCCACCCCTTGCAGGCCCCGGCAGAGCTGGCCTCGGACAAGGTGGCCAATGGCTCCAGCACCCCTCTCTGCGTCCCTCCCTCGGAAGAGAACGGCAGCAGCAGCAGCAGCGCCTTGAACGGACTCTCCCGGGCCCCACAGCTCCTCCAGGTACCCGGCACGGCCAGAAGGCTGCCCTCCCCCCCCCCCAAGAGCAGCCCTGTCGGGCCTTCTTTCAGGAGGGAAGCCTCCGGAAGGCTTCTGTGGGGAGAGGGGTTTCCCTGATGGGGCCACAGCAGTGTGTGGGGGGAAAAAAACGGCCTCTCCTGCAGGTAAACTGGCCCAGAGAAGGTGGGGAGGGTGGAGGGAGGGAGGGAGGGCAGCAGGTGGAGGTGTGGGGCGTACAGCCACCCAAACTCAGTCTGCCTTCATGAGCAGCACCTGCCGAGTCTCCTCCGCCTGAAGCAGCAACGTGGTCTGTATTTCTTGCCTTCCAGCTGCGCTATTTCACCCACCACAGCGTGAAGTACTTCTGGGATGACGCGGTGCAGAACTTCATTTCCATAAAGTAAGAGATGGACGGCGCCTTCCCTGCCCAGAGAGAGGCCCTGGCAGCGGGACGGGTCCTCCCGACTAACCCCCCTGCGCCTCTCCCTTTCCCGCAGGGGTTTGGACGAGTCCACCTCCTGCGCTTCCATCCACCGGGAACACAGCACAGGGCTGACGAAGGAGATGCAGGACTACAGGTGGGCCCCTGCGAGGAGCACGGGGGGGGGGGGTTCGGTGGAGGGCTCCCCTCTCAGCCTCCCTCCTGGCCTGCCTCCCTGCCCCTCGGCCACCACTCTCCCCCCTCGGCTCCCACACGCTCATGGCCATCCGGAGTGGGCCCAGGGGAGCCCAGGAACCCCTGCAGGGCCCTCGGCCTCCTTGCCTTCCTCTCCTTCCCATCCGCCAGCTCTTCCTCCTCCTGGCGGGCCCTCCTGGTGCTCTTGGGTGGCTCTTGGGCGGCAGCGGCCAGCAGCTGCGAGCTAAATTTATGTACCTTTTTATCTCTTTTGGATGCAGGAAGATTTTCTACGGACTGAATGAAATTGCGGTCAAAGTGCCTTCCATTTTTAAACTGTTGATTAAAGAGGTGAGCCTTTTGCTGTGAAGGGGGGGTGGGGAACGGCTATTATTGGCCATCTGAGCCTTGAGAAAGAGTTAGCCGGGGGTGGGGGGAGAGAAACTAGCAAGCGTTCAGTTCCTCTGTCTCAGACTGCTGCCGCCTGTGTGAGTTTCTGTGAGAATCAGTTGACTCTATCTCAAAATGCAGGTTGAGGGTTGGGTTGTCCACAAGAACGGCCCAAAATCTGTGCTGGCTTCTTTGGCCTGCCTGTTTTTAACCTGCCACATCGTCTAAAAAGATTCCCGCTTGTTAAACAGAGTCTGGTTGCTCAGCTTCAGCCTCCCGGGATCCTGGGATGGGAAGGGGCCAGGCGAGGAGGGATTGGGACGGAGGGGAGCAGGCTGGGCCATCGCCCCGGGGGGGGGAGGTCTTCGCAGGGGGATGTAGTGCAGGGGGGTGTCCAACCAGTGCAAGTTTAAGACCTGTGGACTTCCACTCCCAGGATTCCCCAGCCAGCTTGAATCACTGCTGCAGTGCCTGATTTCTTTCTGCTCCTATTGGATGAGTTAAAAAACAAAACAAAAGAGAAGGAAAAATAATGATAAAGGAAAAAGGAAAACTAAATTAAAAATCAAAAGTAGAATAATATACATGCACGAAGGCATTTCAGTGAAGGTTGTCTGTCTTTCTTGACAATCATCCAGAGCTAATCTATTTCAATAACTGGTTCAGTCCTAAATCGCTAACGACCTCAGCTCTGCCAGCTATGGACTAGCGGAGGCCCTGTATTCATCTTTCCCGTGCTGGAGAATATTGAAGTAGGACACGCAGGATCCAATTTCCTTGTCCAGATGCCAATTTTCACACAATAAGAATATAGCTCAAAAGACTCTGATATTAAACCTTGTCTCAAATTGAGTTTTAAGGCTTTTGGGACACGCAGCATTTAAGTGAAAGGTTAATCTTATTGCACCGTCAGCGTGCTGTAAGCCACCAAGAGTTGCCCTTACGACATTCAGGCAGCACATGGGTTGATTAAATTCAAGCTTTTTCTACATAACCACAATGGATTCCAATAAGTCCGAAATACATAATTTTTTGTTGAATGAAGTGCTGTGTAGTTTCTGTTGAGACTTTTGGTACTGACGACAGCATCTTCCCAGGGAAATGGCTGAAGACAATTGGGATTCTTGTAACGTTAAAGCTTGCCTGTCCAACCGATTCATCGCCACAGAAATGTGTAAAGTGCAGCTGGATGTGTGTGTGTGTGTGAAAAAGAGAGAGAGTTGTGTGTGTGTGTGTGTGTGTGTGTGTGTGTGTAAGAGAGAGAGAGAGAGAGGGACTTAGGATTTAATAGTTGCTCTCAGCTTCCGAGGGTGGAAAAGGCCGCAGAGCTCCAGGCTGAGAGCCTTGGCGGATGCTGGGGCTGCAAAACCTTCCAGCCAGATCTGGCTTGTCCTTTGGGGAGGGATTAAAAAAAAATGGCCCTTTTCCTTCTCCGTCCACCCACAAAAGTGACTGTCGAGTCCCTTCTTAAAAACCTCTATTGCTGGAGCACCTGCAACTTTTGGTGGCAAGCTTTTCCACTGGTTAATCGTCTTCACTGTCGGGAACTTTCTCCTTAATTCCAGGTTGCTTCTCTCCTTGATCAGCTTCCATCCATTGTTTCTCGTCCTTCCCTCTGGTGCTTTGGAGAATAATGTAACCCCCTCTTCCTTGTGGCAGCTCCTCAGATACTGGAACACCGCTATCATGTCTCCCCTATTTCTTATTTTCTTTAAACTAGCCAAACCCAAGTCCTGCAGCCATTCTTTGTATGTTTTAGCCTCCAGGCCTTGGATCATCTTAGTTGCTCTTCTCTGATTTTTTTCCAAACTCTCAGCATCTTTTTTGTGATATGGTGACCAAAATTGGCTGCAGTATTCCAGGTGTGGCTCTTACTAGGGTTTTATAAAGTGGTACTAATACCTCGCATGATTTTGATTCTATACCTGTTTATACAACCCAGGATTGTATTAGCTTTTTTCCACTAGGACTCTAACCCTAACCCTCTCACAGTTACTATTTTTCAGCCAGGTCTCACCCAATCTGTATTTGTGCCTGTGGTTTTTCCTGCCTAAATGTAAAACTTTGCTTTTCTCCACACTGAAACTCATTTTGTTGGATAGGGCCCATTGTTCAAGTCTGTCAAGATCTTTTTGGATCCTGAGTTTGTCTTCTGAGATTTTGGATACTCCTGCCAGTTTAGTGTCATCTGCAAATTTGATGAGTTCCCTTTCAATTCCCTCCTCTAATTCTAAGTCATTGATGAAGATGAAGTACTGGGCCTAAGACGGAGCCTTGTTGTGGTACCCCACTGCTTACTTCTCTCCATGCGAATGTAGTGTCATTGAGGACTACTCGTTGAGTACAGTTTACCAGCCAGCTACAGATCCATCTGGTGGTGATGTTATCTATTCCACCTTTTTCTAGCTTACCAAGGAATAGGTTGTGGTCTACTTTATCAAATGCCTTATTGAAATCTAAGTATACTATGTCCACAGCATTTCGCTGGTGTACTAGGTTTAGTCACTTTATCAAATAACGAGATAAGATTGGTTTGGCATGATCTGTTTTTAACAAACCCGTGCTGGCTACTAGTTATGACTTTGTTTGCTTCTAGTTGTTCGCAGATCTGTTTTTTGATTATCTTTTCTAGGATCTTCCCAGGTATTGATGTTAAACTGATTGGTCTGTAGTTTCCTGGGTCCGTTTTTTTTTTCCTTTCTTGAAGATGGGAACCACATCAGCTTTTTTCCAATCCTCAGGTATTTCCCGGGTAGCACCTGGATTTTTGAAAGATATGGTGCAATGGTTCTGAGATAACATCTGTCAGTTCCTTCAGAACTCTGGAATGTAATCTGTCGGGTCCCGGTGATTTATATCTGTCAAGGTCGGATAGGTGTTCTCTTACCATTTTCCTGCTTATTTTAATTTTTGTTTCTAGTTCGTCTTTTGCGGTGGTTTTTTGGTATGTTGGGCTGTAGTTTCTTTTTTCTGTGAAGACTGATGCAAAGAATGAGTTAAACAGCTCTGCTTTCTCCCTGTTGTCTGTTATTTCCTTGCCATCCTCTCTCTTTAATGGACTTAACAGTTTCCTTAACTTTTTTCTTGTTGTTAATATGTTGGAAGAAACTTTTTTTTATTAGCCTTGATTTCTGTTGCAAGTCTTTGTTCGTTCATCCACAATTTGGCACTATAAGGTATGCCAAAGGCCTAATCCAGGATATGGAAAACCAGATTCTCCCCTCTGACAGACAGCTGCATGCATTTAAAAGTTAATTCCCCCACAGACATTTAGGAAATGTACTGTATGCTGGAAAATACTTTGTAGATATGTTTGTGTGTGAGTCTACAATATTACATGTTTATTTTAAGAATATTAACCTTACCCCAAAGGTTAATTTTTAAAACTGCCCTCTATCGTAATCCATTGAGCTCTCCTTAGAGATGTTATTTACGCAGCAAAGAACTCCAAGAAGTAAGTTGTTGTGTCTTTGAAGGGCTTTTAACCTGTTGGCCTCAGATGCCCCAGTTAACGGGATATCCTGCTTTCTCCCCAAACTCACTTCGCTTACTGACGCTGGACACAAGTAATATGTGCCATTGGCGTATCACACACCCCTGGACCTGCACCGTGGATGTGACGTTTGGCGCAACGGTTTCAATAGCAGTTCCGTATTGTCTGATCCCTGTGACTTTTAATAAAATCAGCCTGACCAATCAAGGGAACCTCTTCTGCCGCCTCTTTGGGAAAAGGACAGCCTCCCGCCTCCATCCGAAGGAAAAGTGGGTGGCACCTTTTCCCTTTCTGCCCAGTTAAGTGTTCTGGAAGACCAAAGGCTCCCGGTCCAACACGGGTGATCCCTGGCTTGGCCCCAGCAGAGGCTTGGCCCCAGTGTGCAGCTTCACCCTCATGTGGAAGGGAGTTCCCCTCCTTGTCCACTTGCAAAGGGGGGGGGCTCAGCTTTCAGCCTTCGAAAACCTCGAGAACCTTCTGGTGCCGTTGTGTTATGCCTGCGAGTAGTGTGTGTGTGTGTGTGTGTGTGTGTGTGTGTGTGTGTGTAGCTTTTCCCAAAGGAGCTTTGGCCTGGTGGCCGGTTCTCCACAGCAGCGCTGGGAGCTGAGGAAGGGTGAGCAGAGCCTCTTGTGGCATTTGAGGGGCTCCTTGGAGGAGGCCCCCTGCTTCTCGGGGCTCCCTCCGCGTGCTGGGCCTGTCTCTTTCCGCTCTGGCACTCTGAACGTTAGCCCTGAGTAGGGAATTCAGAATTGGGGGAACCAGGCGAAGGAGAGTCGTAATCTAACACTGGTTCCTGGTTTTCTCTCTCTTTCTCTCTCTCTCTCTCTCGTTCCTTGCAGGTCCTCAATCCTTTCTACATTTTCCAGCTGTTCAGTGTGATCCTATGGTGCACGGACGAATATTACTACTATGCAATCGCCATTGTGATCATGTCTCTGATCTCCATCGCCAGCTCTCTGTACAACATCCGAAAGGTGGGTGTGAGAAGCCCTGCGGGGGGGGGGAGGAGGAGGAGGCAGACTTGAGCCCTTCCGCTGCTGCTGTGCACAATAAGCTGGCTGGTCCGGGTGCAGCGGGCCGGACTTCCTGAGGTTTGTTTAGCTGATCCCGTTCCGATTGGCAGAGAGAGTCGCAGGAATCCAGCCAGTTTGGTGAGTTTAGGATCCAGTGCCTGGAGCAAACACAGTCAGTCACTAGCCAAGTTAAGTGTGCTTTTGTGTAACGTGGCCTTTGTGTTCCCGTGGCGCTGTGCTGAGCTGCCCTAAACCCCGGAGGTGTCTGGGCTCGGCATCGGTTTGCCTGAAAGAGTCCCGGATTCTGCCCTCATCCGCCCACTCACTCACTCCGGGCGCTGTGGTGCTTAAAGGTCTATGAACCATTTTGAATTTTCAACATTTCTGCATAAATGAGTCAGAAACAAATATGTATAGTTTTGGATCACTTTCTTCAATAAATAGATTAACAAGTGTAATGTTTTTGACTAATTTTGGATTCACTTTATCCAGTTCTGGGACTTGTGTGAAGAGAGCCCATTTTAGGTCATATGTATGCAGAAATATTGAAAATTCAAAAGAGTCCCCAGACATTTAAGCGTCCCTGTAGCCCTGAAGACAAAATGTACAGGTCGAAGTGGACTGTGGTGACCTGTTTCTTCCTGTCCCTGGTCTGTTTGGGTCCCCATCCCCAGCGGTGTCCGTAGAGAACTGGACAGAAGGACCGTGTTGGACCCCCCTGGGTGGTCTTCAGGAACCCCCGGAAGTAGCTGACAGGGAGGGAATCTGAAGGGCTTCTTCCACTGATGTTCCTCGAGGGTTATCATTCGCTCACAACAATCAAGCAAACAAATTGCAATAAAATCAATAAGCGATTAAGATAAAAGATGGCGAGCGTGATGAAGCAGAGAGTCTTGCCAAAGGCCTGGGCGATGAGCCCAGTCTTCACACCTCTTCTAAAGAAAGCAGGGTGGGGGCCATTGGGGGAGCCCCATTCCAGGGGAGGGGGCACTGCTGTAGAGAATTAATTAAATATTTATTTCAGAATGTGTCTTCTCACCCCCCCCAAATTTGTCTGGTGCCTCAAGATTTTGCCTGGAGCCTTGGAATTGGTGCCACGTCCTGCTGGGGGCGCCAGGGGTGGGCGAAGCCCGAGGGAGCTTTTTAAGCTCCGAACTGGGCTGGGCTGGGCATCCTTTGAAAGGCAGATCAGGGTTCTGGCTTCCTCTGAAGACTCTGAGTCTTCCAGGTGCTCCTGAGCACATCCCTGGATTTTGGCTTCAGGGGCAACTTCTGCATAGCAGAGATTAGGCAGGTCAGCTCCAGTGGCTGTTCCCGGAGGCCTCGGCTGGCTGGGCCAAATAGGGGGAGCCCCTCCTGGGAGGCCTCCCTGCTCTGCTGGGGATTTCACCAGAGGCACAGGGCTCTTGCGGGCTGGACTCTGAGAAAGCCGGGGGCCAGTTCAGAAAGAGCGCAGGGTACCCCAGAAAGGGTCTTCCAGCTACACTGGCCTTGTCCGCATCCCTGGGACCCTGGGGCTTGAAGAGAGGGGGACGCCACCCAAGGCAGGCCGGCCAGCAGGAGCCGCTCCCTCTTCCGCCTCCCCCTTTGGCTCGTGGGGTGGCCGGGACGGCTCGCTCAGGCTTGGGGCGTCTGGCTAGCAACGCTCTCCTCTCCTCCCTTCAGCAATACACGATGCTGCACGACATGGTGGCAACTCACAGCATCATCAGGGTGTCCGTCAACAGAGCCAACCACGGTAGGACAGGCCGGGCTGGCAGAAGGGGCGAGGGTGAGAGGGGCGTCTTTGGGGGTTCCTCCTGAGGTGCAAGCAGCTGTGGGGCTGGGGGTGGGGGAGCATTTTGCAGCTGCCCCCCTGGACTTGGTCCTTGGCTTGTTGCGGACATGCCGAGAGGCCACTGCCCGTTGCTGCCAAGTGTGTGTGCAGGACTGGCGGATTCCTCTGCCAGCCTCGTGCCGTGCCCAGAGTCCTTGCCAGCTGCTCTCTGCCCCCTCGGCCTCAGTGGGGAGGAGGCGTGGGTGGGTTGGGGCTTTGCCCACTCGCAGCCCTCTCGTCTGCCCTGCAGGGATGGAGGAGGTCCTGTCCACGGACCTGGTGCCCGGGGATGTCATCGTGGTCCCGCTCCGGGGAATGATCATGCCCTGCGATGCGGTGCTTCTCAGCGGGACCTGCATCGTCAATGAAAGCATGTTGACGGGTGAGTGGGGGGCGCTTGCCCTGTGCCAGCAGCTGGGCCACAAAGCCGCAGGTGGCACGGGCAGCGAGCGATCCTCTTGTTCCCCCAGGGGAGAGCGTCCCGGTCACCAAGACCAACCTGCCCAACCCGTCCAAGGACTCGCAGGCCCTGGAGGGCGAAGTGTACGACCCGGACGGGCACCGGAGGCACACCCTCTTCTGTGGCACGACGGTCATTCAGACCCGCTTCTACACTGGGGAGCTGGTCAAGGCGGTGGTCGTCAGGACAGGTACGCCAGCGCTGGGCGGAAAGGAGGGCCCGGGTCTCCCAAAGGATCCAGGTGTTGGATTCAGGGACGTGTTTGGGAAAGGCTGCTTCGGATCCTTCCCCATCTCTTTCCCGCATCACAGCCCCAGTGTCAATCAGAATAGAGCTGGAAGGGACCCTGGAGGTCTTCTAGTCCAAATCCCCTGCTCATGTGGGAGACCCTGTACCATTCCAGACAGGTGGCTGTCCAGGCTCTTCTTAAAAGCCTCCAGTGATGGAGGACCCACAACTTCTGGTGGCAAGCTGTTCCACTGGTCAATTGTTCTCACTGTCAGGAAATTTCTCCTTAGTTCCAAGTTGCTTCTCTCTTCGATTGGTTTCCATCCATTCATTCTTGTCCCATTTTCAGGTGTTTTTTAGAATAGCTTGACTCCCGCTTCTTTGTGGCAGTCCCTCAAATACTGGAACACTGCTCTTCTTTTCATTAAACTAGTCATACCAAATTCCTGCAACCTTTCTTCATATGTTTTTGTCTCCAGGCCTTCAATCATTTTAGTTGCTCTTCTTTGCACTTTTTCCAAAGTCTCAACTTCTTTTTTGTAATATGGTGACCAAAACTGACTGCAGGATTCCAGGTGTGGCCTCACTAGGGCTTTATAAAGCGGTACTAATACTTCACGTGATTTTGATCCTATGCCTCTGTTTATACAACCCAGGATTGTGTTAGCTTTTTTGGCTGCTGCCGCACACGGCTGGCTCATGTTTAAGGGATCGTCCACTAGGACTCCAAGGTCCCTCTCCCAGTTGCTGTTTTTGAGTCAGGTTTCACCTAATCTGTACTTGTACCTTGGTTTTTCCTGCCTAGGCGTAAAACCTTGCTTTTCTGCACATTAAATTTCATTTTGTTGGACAGTCAAGATCTTTTTGCATCCTGCGCTTGTCCTCTGGGGTGTTGGCTATTCCTGCCAGCCTCTGCCAGGATGTCCAGCTCCCTCGGTGCCAATCCACTGCTTGCCCCACAGCAAGGCCCCTTTGAGTGGCTGCCTGGGTGCCCTCTTTGGGGTCAGGACCTTCTCTGCCACAGACGTGTATGCGGCCTCTGGGCTCCCTAGGTGGGGAGGGGGCAGAATCCCTCTGGGGAGATTGCTGAATGTCTACACCGCAGCCTCTCCGGGTCTGAGTCACCTGTGCCACATCCCTGGCACTCTGTGCCTCTCCGGAAGGTCCCGGCACAGGAGAAGCAGCCACGCCCTCTGACCCCTCCCCCTTTTGGTGAGGCTCCCTTCCCTTCACAACATCCCCCTCCCACCACCCCGAAAAAGGAATGACTCCAGATAAGATAAGATAAGATAAGATAAAATAAGATAAGATAACCTTTATTGTCATTTTTTTACCGTGGGCACAACGGCACACATCAAAAATGAAATTTAGTTGCCCGCTCTCAAAGTGAAACACATACATGACACACACCTAAACATACTATATGCAACATATGTATAGACCAGGGGTAGGCAACCTCGGCTCTTTTATGACGCGTGGACTTCAACTCCCAGAATTCCTGAGCCAGCCATGCTGAAGGGAAAGGGAGAGGTTTCCAAGCTGAGCCATGCTGGCTCAGGAATTCTGGGAGTTGAAGTCCACGAGTCATAAAAGAGCCAAGGTTGCCTACCCCTGGTATAGACCCACACTCCTACATATACATAACAAATAAATATTAAATACTAATTCTATATAAATAAAAATGTAAATGTTCGTTTGTTCAAAATCTTAAATCTCCAAAAGTTCTTCACCGATTGCTTTGAAATTTTGACACAACGTTGCATTCGAATATGTGTTTTTATATACCTACTTTTATATAGATGTCACACCTGTGACAGGTAAAACATGCTTTTTTAAAAAAAACAGCGCCATCTGTTGGACGTAAAAGCATACCCACAAGCATTGTGAAATTACAAACGTGCGCTTTCTCTTTTCTTTCTTTTCCATTTAACCAGACTGAGCCACAGCAATGCGTGGCCGGGTACAGCTAGTACTAAATAAATATTAAATACTCTCCCTGCCTCCTTGGGGATTGTCTTGGCCCCGTGCTTTGAGACCTTTCTTCTCTGCCCTCCGTCCCCCTGGAAAGCCGAGGCTCAGATCCTCCCTTTTGGGGGAGCTTTCCGCAAGACTCTGTTTCCCCCGCTGGAGGGAGCTGCCCTGGGTCGCCAGCTTCCCCTGCCTGCCTGCCTGCCTGGGGCCCCGGCTCCCCTGGGTGGGCGGCAGCCTCCAGGCCCCCTTGGTGCGGGACAGGCCTCCCTTCCGACCCGCTCTCTGGGGATCCTCCCGGTTGCAGGTTTCAGCACTTCGAAAGGGCAGCTGGTGCGCTCCATCCTGTACCCGAAGCCCACCGACTTCCAGCTCTACCGCGAGGCCTACCTGTTCCTGCTCTGCCTGGTGGGCGTGGCGGGCATCGGCTTCATCTACACCATCGTCATCAGCATCCTCCACCAGGTAGGGAGCGCTCCGGCCTGGCTGGCGAGGGTCTCCCCCCCTTGCAGACCCGATAGCGCCAGTGCTGGGCCGGTTGTCAGGGTCTGCCCTTACGCGAGGTGCTGGCACGGGCGATGCCTCTGCTGCCCACAGAGCCGCCTCCTGGGCCAAGCTTGGCCGCTGGCGCACCTGGCAGGCTGCTCCGGCGGGCACTGGAAGCGCCTGCAGCACCTGGGGCTGCCGTTTCCCAGCAGCTCTGGCAAGGGGAAGCGTGGCCGGAGGCTGATGCCCGCCCTTCCTTGCAGGTTCCCGCTCGCACTATCATCATTGAGTCTCTGGACATCATCACCATCACGGTCCCTCCGGCCCTCCCTGCTGCCATGACGGCCGGGATCGTCTACGCGCAGCGGCGGCTGAAGAAGGTCGGGATCTTCTGCATCAGCCCCCAGAGGATCAACATCTGTGGGCAGCTGAACCTCGTCTGCTTTGACAAGGTCCGGCCTCTGGCCACTCTCCCGGGCTGGGGAGGGGGGTTGGATGGACTCGGGGGGGGAGGAAGGGAGCCCCTGGCCCTGGCCCTCTTTTGCTGCCCATGGGCCCCTGCTGAAGGGAAGGGGGGGAGAGCGGGACCTGAAAGAGCCGCCCCCCCCGCTCAGGTGCTCCCACCCTCTCTGGCCTTGGCCTGCCAAGTGGGTCGCTCGGCCCCTGAATCCCGTTGGAGGGGCAGCTGGGCAGAGGCCTTGCCCCCAATCCTGTCCCCAAGGGGCCGCCTGCCCCTCCCCCAGGTGATAGGCAACCCTCGACAAGCCATAATTGAGCCCAGAAATACAGTCCGGGTGGCCATTGAGTGGGTCACCACCTGCACGTGCCTGATCACGGCCTTTTTTGTGGTAGTCCCTAAGCGAACACTCCTGGTTAGAGGAATCTATCACATCATTTTTTGCCAGAAACCAGAAGTAAAGGCGAGTTTCCAGCAAAAAAAAAACACCAAAAAAACCACTGAAAATTGTGGTGAAGCCACTGCCGGCTTCTGCAAACGGTTGTAAATGCAGGCCGGTTGCTAAGCGCCCAAAATGCAGTCACGTGACCGAAGGGGGGGGCAGTTGTTGGAACTTTGGAACCAGTTTATATGTAGCTCTGGGGAGGCCCGTCCTAACTGGGAACCGACTGGTTCAAAGACTACCTGTAGGCAGCCCCCTCCCCACCCAGTTAAGAAGCCGGCCTTGCTTTGGAAATGCTCGGTGACACAGACACACACACACACACACACAACAAAGCCATCCTTGGAGGGCTCTGGGCTCAGCTCCGGCCTGTCCAGCGCAAACATCCCTCCCTTGTTTTGCTTGGAGGAGCCAAGGGAAGGAGCAACCGTGGGAGGGAGAAGATTGGGGGGGGGTGTTGGGGGGTGTCTGAGGAAGCCTACNTCTGTCTGGCTGGGCCTCCCTTCCTTCCTTCCCTTGGGAGGGGGGAGGGGGCAGGGCCCAAGAAGGGGAGAAGCTTGAACTGGGGCCCACCAGCCAGGGGCCCCCTGGGCTCCTCTTGTTCTGCGCAGCCTTCGTGGCAGAGATCCTTGGATGCCACCCAGAGGAAAGAAGGCTGAGCCAAGGGGGGGAGAGAGAGCCAGGGAGCTCCTGCGTGGGTCGGGGAGGGAGGGGGCTTCCTCTGCTCAGCTTGGCCGGGAAAGGAGGCCCAGGCACGGCCTTCCCAGGTGGGGTGGGCACTTCTCTCGTCCCCCAGGGTTGTAATCCCATTCCTGCCTCTTGGGGCTACCCTGGAGGGAGGGGGAGGGGGCCTCTGGCAGCCCCTCCCTCAGCTTTGCACCCCCACCCCACCCAGCACCCGATGCGGTCTCAGCCGCTGGAAGGCAGGGGCTTCTCTCCCTCCCCCAATGGAGGCAAAGACTGACAGCTTGGGGCCCGGTTTGGGGCCAGGCTGGTCTCCAATCTGCGGTCGGGTCTTTCAAAGGCTGCCAAGCGGTTGGTGAAGCCAGGGGGCAGCCCTCTCAGCCCCACAGCCAGCACTGCCCTTTTCTCTCCCCCTAGACAGGGACCCTGACGGAGGATGGCCTGGACCTCTGGGGCATCCAAAGGGTTGAAAGTGCCTGGTAAGTCAGAGAGGCCAGTCAGATCCTCGGTGGGCCTCCTGCTCCTCAACCACCGGGAGGCAGGCGCCCAGGGCCCCCCTCACCACCCTACCTGGCCAGGGTTTGGGGCGGGCAGTGCAGATCAGCCCCTCCAGGTGGTGTTTGGGTTGCCATCTGCCCCGAAGGGAAGGCAGACCTCACGGCTGCTCCAGCCTCCAGAGCAGGGGGTCTTCAAACGTGGCCCTTTTATGACTTGTGGACTTCAACTCCCACGCTGGCTGAGGAATTCTGGGGGTTGAGGTCCACAAGACATAAAAGGGCCACGTTTGAAGACCCCTGCTCCAGAGGGTCCTGGCGAGGGGCGCCTTCCTCAGCCTCCGCCCTCCGTTCAGCTTCCAGCTGCCCGAGGAGAGCGCCTGCAAGGAGAGCCTGGTGCGCTCGCCCTTCATCGCCTGCATGGCCGCCTGCCATTCCCTCACTAAGATCGAAGGGGAGCTCTCCGGAGATCCGCTTGATCTGAAGATGTTTGAAGCCACCGGATGGGTGAGGAGACGCCCCCTCTGGGAGGGGAACGGGCTGCCTGGCGGGGGGAGGGGGGCAGAGGTTCCCCACAGCTCTGGACACGGCGGGTCGTCTTGGGCTCCGGGATTTGGGCTGATGGGCGTCTCGGGGGCTCCGTCTCCTTCAGGTGCTGGAAGAGGCAACGGAGGAGGAGACGGCCCTTCACAACCGGATCATGCCCACGGTTGTCCGGCCGGCTAAGCAGCTTCTTCCAGACTTCCATGCTGGAAACAACAAGGAAATGGTGGGTCCCCTGGGCCTCTCTCTCTTTCCCGCTCTCTGGTGCGGCTGCCCCTGCACCATCCGGAAGTCGCCCCAGGGCCCGCCTTGCTCTGTCCGGCTCTGGGACAGCCGAGGGCGCCTGTGTGTGTGTGTGTGCGCGCACACGCATGACGAGTGTTCCTGCCATGGCATCTTGGGGTGGGGGGATACCGCGTGGCTCGACCCCCTGGGCTGCCTCTGCTGCTGGGGAGGATTCCGGCCCAGGCGGTCCTGCCCAAAACTCTCTTCTCTTCTTCCCTTGCAGGAACTGTTTCAGCTCCCGGTGAGTGCTTGCCCTCCTCCCCCCCCACTTTGGTGGCTGTGCCCACCCTCGCCCGCCAGCTGGTCATCGGGCGCCTCCGTTCAGCTGCCCCTTTCTTGACCAGGCCAGTTACGAGATCGGGATCGTGCGGCAGTTCCCCTTCTCTTCCGCTCTGCAGCGGATGTGCGTGGTGGCCCGGATCCTGGGGGAGAAGAAGATGGACGCCTTCATGAAAGGGGCCCCGGAAGTGGTTGCGGGGCTGTGCAAGCCGGCCACTGGTAAGGACCCCCCTCCTGGCTGCGGCTCCCCTGCTGCCCCCCCTGGGGGGGAAGGATGGCGGGGGTCCTGCTGGCGTGACCCTCAGCCGCTGGCCTCTCTCCCTTCCCTAGTGCCGGCCGACTTTGAGCGGGTGCTGGAGGAGTTCACCCGGCAGGGCTTCCGGGTCATCGCTCTGGCCCACAGGAAGCTGGAGTCCAAGCTCACCTGGCACAAGGTGCAGAACGCTGCCCGGTGAGTGGATGCGGCTGGGCTTTGGGGGGGGCAGGGGGGGGGTTAGTCCAGGCAATCCGACGTGGCCACTCAAGCCCAGAGGGAGAGGGAGCTGATGGACCCCCGGAAGACTTTCTTGGGGTCGCGCCCCACGTCCTGTCCAACAACAGGGATCAGTCGGAATGCTCTTCTTGGACCTCAACCTGAAGCAGCTCTCATGTCAATAAGGGGGGGGGGGGGAAATGCTTAGAATGTGTATGCGTAACGGAAGAGAAGCCAGACCTAAGCATGATGTCATGTGTCTGATTAACGAAACACTTAAAAGGACTTTCAGGCATAATTTTTTCCTAAAAGCATTTATTAAGGTTACAGAGACCTCAGTACAGCATGGTGGAAATGCTTAGATCTGGCTTCTCTTCCGTTAGGCATATACATTCTAAGCATTTCCCACCCACCCCCCTTATTTTGGGGTCATGGTTCACATCTTCCAATCAACTTGGGAGATGTGATTTACTTCCGGTTTCTTTCTCCCGGGCTTTCCTTATTCTCCTCCCTTCTTCCCTGTTGCCTGGTTTAACTATAAAAATACCAGACAGTTCTGCATATTGTCAAAGCAAGAATATACAGTATTTGCAGCGTTGACAGCAGCCTTCTCTGCTCAGCAGGTCCAGGCTGACACACACACACACACACACACACACCCCGTCTGACCCCGAGCAGCATCTCCTAGAAGCCTCTGGTCTCAGAAACATTGGGGCCAGCTCTCCCGGCCCTCCTCACAGGGGACCCGTTGAGCAGGGCTGGGGCGAGGAGGGTTCCCAGCAGGCTCTTCCTTCTGTCTGCCCTTTGCCACCCCCCCTCCCTGCCTCTCTGGCAGCTCCTCCTGCCCCCCTGCCTGCCACGTCTAGGTGGGGTACCTCCTCATTGCCCCCAGACTCTGCCCCAGGTGGCTACCGGCACCAGAGGCAGCCCAGTGAAGAGCTAAAGCGGGCAAGGTTCTGGCTGGGTGCCCGTGCTGGATCCGAATCCCGAGCCTCTCTATTGCCAAGGGCTGAGTTTGAATCCCAGTGTGAATTGGCGCTTGGGAGTGGTGGCAGCTTCCCAGCCTTGACCCCTTTGCGAATCCCGCCCTGGTTTTCATGGAATCTCCTCTTCCGCCCTAGAGACGCCATCGAGGCCAACATGGACTTTATGGGGCTCATTATCATGCAGAATAAACTCAAGCCAGAAACTCCAGCTGTACTTGACGACTTGCACAAGGCCAACATCCGCACCGTCATGGTCACAGGTACGTGCGAGGGGCCGTCCGCCTTTCCTTTCAGGCTGTCCCTAAAGTGGCCGTCATTAAGCGAGGGGAGGCCTCCTCCGGAAGAGATGGCGACCCCGGGCTGCCCATAAGGGTGCTTGATCAGCCGTGGTTAAGGCGTGCCCCTTCTCTCTCACCTGGACCCCGGGGTGGCCTTTCCCTTCCCCCGGCTTTGCCCGTAAAGGAGGACGTAGGGGGCAGGGAGGCTGGCCACTTGGGTTTGGGTCCCTGGCCCACCCCATCCCCCACTTGTGGCTGAGATGATCCGGCCTCTCAGGCCGGAATACGAAAAGAATCGGCTGCTGAGCACCGTTTGCTGTGAAGGGGGGGGCTCCTCACTGCCAGGGGGGCTTCCTTTCCAGCCGGTGTCCAGCTTTTCTGCCGTCTCCTCTCATGGGGACAGCCTGCAGGATGAAGAGGGGCAGATTCTTAAATCAGATCCAACCCTGGTTTGGCTTCCAGTTCTAAATCCCCATCTCGGCTCACGTGTACTGGTGTGTACATGTGAAGTGCCGCTGGTACGAGGCTGCCAGGGAGCGGCTGAGCCCTGGACACACGTGCTCGTGTTCGCTTCACAGGCGACAACATGCTGACCGCCATTTCCGTGGCCCGGGACTGTGGCATGATTCTACCTCAGGACAAGGTCATTGTGGCTGAAGCACTACCTCCCAAGGACGGGCACCCCGCCAGGATCAAGTGGCACCACGCAGATGCCCTCGAGAGGGATCCCGAGGCCGTGCCCACCATAAACTCAGAGGTGAGGGGGGGCCCTCCAGAGGGCAGGGAGAGGAGCCCCTCTTAAGCACACCTCAGGGGAGAGCCAGTGGGTGGGAAGGGGCCCCTCCCCCACACTGTCCCCCAATCTGCGCTTCCGACTGGGGAAGAAGGGGGGCCACGGGAGGAAAAGTGGCCTTGGGGGAAGGAAGGCTCAGGAGAAAAGCTCTCCCCCCCCCCCAGGATGGATTTCTCACCACACATTTGCCACCAATGAGCCTTTTTTGCCTGGGTCCCCTGGAGCCTTTTGCCCTTCGGAGGGCTCCATACCTAAAGCAGCCCTTTGGCAGCAGTTTCATGTAGCTAATACTGTTGAGGGGAGGGGTCTGCCCTGATTGGAAGGTGGGTGGGGGTCTGTGCCTTCACACGTTCCTTTCGCAAGAGCTGGCCGCTCCTTGGACTCGCCCTGCGAACAGTGATTGGCCCAGCACTCTCCCTTCTGTGTTTCAATAATGTTTTGATCTGTGTGGTTTTTAATGTTTTAATATTTTAATTGCTTTTGGCTTGCTTTATAACTTGTAAGCCACCCGGAATCACCCAGTAGGGGAGATCGGCGGCATAAAAATTGAATAAATAAAATAAATAACTGCTCTCCCTTGGATAGGAAGTCTAATTGAGTGCTAAATTCAGAGGTGGTTTATTTCAGATCAGATATTTGTGGCAATTTTGAGCCAGCGCTTCCCCCCCCCCCCCCGGCCTTTGCCAGGTCTAGGCGGCAATGACCGATTTTGTTGCCTTTCTACTTCAAGTATCTGATCACAAAGCCCTGTTTTTAGCAGCGGTGCTTAGCTGTTTACTGGAAGTTTAGAGCTCCTGCCCAAAGGTGGTTAAATTGAAAAGGGGTGTGTGTGTGTTGTTTTTTCTCTCTTGTTACAGGATATTCCCATTAAACTTGCCCAGCAGAACTTTGAGGACTTCCACAAAACCAAATTCCATTTTGCCATGAACGGGAAGTCCTTCGCTGTCATCCAGGAGCATTTCCAGGACCTGGTGCCCAAGGTCGGTCCCGGCCCAGCCGCGTTGGGGTCTCGCTCTGCCCGTGGGTCAGCTCTGCCCGTGCTGCGTGCGCCTCCCGCGAGGGTCTGTGCAGCCCTATGGAGAGGGCCTTCTTCCCAAGAGCCCCCTGGCCCACACCCATGGCCTCCTCCTCCTCCTCTGGGCCCCTCCACTTGCCTCCATTCACACAAACCCCCCCCCAAACAGAGGAGGGGGGGCTTCCCCAGCCTTGAAAGAGCCAGAACTGAGCCTGCCCCTCCTGTGGCCTTTCTGAGGCTTTCCCATGGGGGGGGGAAGGGGGGGCTGGCAGCAGTTCTAGAAAAGCCCCCTCCTTCTGAGAATCACTGCAGAATGCTTCCACACAATTAAAGGTACATTTCCTGGATGGAAAGAGCGATGCGTTGAACTTTTGCCCATATTGCCAAACACACACACACACACACAAAACCCAGCAACTGTTGTCCCTTCCACCTTCCCTTCCCCCCCCCCCCCCCCCCCCCCCCCCCCCCCCCCCCCCCCCCCCCCCCCCCCCCCCCCCCCCCCCCCCCCCCCCCCCCCCCGGGATGCTGAGAGAACCGACTCCCCCCTTGCCTTCCAGCTTGTGCTGCACGGCACAGTTTTCGCCCGCATGGCCCCGGACCAAAAGACGCAACTGGTGGAGGCCCTGCAAAACGTGGAGTAAGTACACAATTGCAGGGGGGGCCTTGCCCGCCCCCTGCCCCAAAGAGTAGGCAAGCCTCGCTGCTGAGCAGCCGGCCTCTGAGAGGGCCAAGCAGGATCCCTGCCCTGAGCGGGGCCAGGGCTGCCGGGGTCACCAGGCCCAAGACTGAAACTGGGAGGGAGCCGGCTGCCCCCCCTGCCCCCTGCCTGGGGGTCTCGGGGCAGGGGGAAAGCTTAAGAGGCAGGAAAGGGTTCCAGGTGCCCGCCTTCTCCTCCGTGCTTTGCTGCCCGATCCGCCCTGCCAGTCCTTGGACTCTTGTCTTTCACTCCAGGGGGGGGGTTTGTGAATCCCCCACCGCTGACCTGAGATCCTGGGGTTCAGTCAGCTGCAAACGATTTTGGGGGCGAAGGATCTGGGGGCAGTGGGCCCTCCTAGGGAGAAGGTGCCTCGCTGGGCTTGCCCCGGCCCTGTCGGCTGCTTCAGCAGAGGGGCGTAAATTAAGCGGGCGGCACCCCACGGCCTCCTGATCGCTCTGCTGAACCCGGTTCCCTGGGCAAAGAGTTCCTCTTTCCCAGTGCCAAGAACGCCCCCACCTTCTCCCCAGGCCCCCTCAGGATCTGGGATCACCTTTTCCAGGCCTGGCAGATGGGGAGGGCGGTCTGCTGGGGGGGGGCTTTTGTTTCGTTGACTCCCTGAAGGCCAATCCAAGGGGGCTGGTCAAGTACATCCAGGGAAGCAGTTTGTGGGAGCCTTTGCTGGACAACTCTCCGGGGGATCCCTGGAGGGCGCCCCCCCTCACATGCCTCAGTTCCCCCTGCCCACGGTCACTCCGCAGAAGGAGCTTCCGGAGCGCAGGGGGACCCTCACCCTGCCCGCTCTCTCTTGCAGCTACCACGTGGGGATGTGCGGAGACGGAGCAAATGACTGTGGGGTGAGTATGCCCCCCTCCCCCTCCCTCCAGCTGCTCCGTGGGGGCCCAAGGGCCCCCTTCTCAGGCCTCTTCCCCTCCCCCCACCCCCCAGGCTCTGAAGAGGGCCCATGGCGGCATTTCACTCTCCGAGCTGGAAGCGTCCGTCGCTTCTCCCTTCACCTCCAGGTCAGCCAGCATCTCCTGCGTGCCGAACCTGATCAGGTAAAGGGTTCGGGCATTGCGTAGCCGGAGGGGCCTCCTCCCTCGGCTGGCTCTGCAGTGGACGGGGCGGGTGGGGCGTGGGGAGGCCCCGCTTGGAGGGGAGAACGGAGAAGGCCATCGGCTAAGCCCCTCTGGACGTGGTGTCCAGACCGCAGGCCCAGGGCTCCACCGCCCAAGCGAGCATCAGGGACAGGCACAGCTTGTGGGTTAGCCACAGCTTCCTTTCCTGGGAGGGTTGGGGGGGGTCTCCCATTCCGGGGGGGGGGGCAGGGAAGCACCCATCCTGCCTCCCGTTTCTGCCTCCACGTTGCAAGAGCCGGAGCCGGTTCCCAGATGGGCCTCGCATTTCGGAGTTCTGGGCTGTCCTGAGACGTGGTGCTTCTCTTGTGCACGAGACGTGGCTCTCCCCGGCCACACAAGGCCTCTCCCTCCCTGGATGGGGCTGAGCAGGAATTCTTCCTCCCCCCCCCCCGCCTGAGGAACCCTGGAGACGGGGGGGGGATGGTGGTGGTCTCCATGCCTGCTGCTTTTCCTCCGCAGGGAAGGCCGGGCTGCCCTAATGACTTCCTTCTGCGTGTTCAAATTCATGGCTTTGTACAGCCTCATCCAGTACCTCAGCGTGACTCTGCTCTACTCTGTGAGTCTCTGCCTACCTCGGGGGAGGCTTTCCTCGGCGGGCGGCGGGCGCCTTCCCCGGGCATCGCGCCTGTCCCCTGGGGGCGGCCCTGATAATACTGGGGGTGGCGGGGGCTTCAGGAGCCGCGAGCGCCTTCTGCACCAAGCGCTTAAGGTGGGCCCTGGACCCACCCAGGGAAGCAGGATCAGCCGTGGGGCCGAAGGAGGTTTAACAGGGCAGGAGAGGAAATCGGATATGAGCCCAGCGAGTGGAGCCAGGGGGAGCGAGCAGAGAGCGGAGCCCCTCCTCTTTCTGGAAGGGGGGAACCTGGGGGCTTCGGGGCCCGAAGGAGGAAGCACTCAGAATGTCTCTCTCTCTCTCTCTCTCTCTCTCTCTCTCTCTCTCTCTCTTTCTCTCTCTCTCTCTCACACACACACACACACACACACACACACACACCCCTTCTCTCTCTGGGCTGCCCAGGGCTCCAGAGGGGAGACGGGGAAGGGAAGGCCCGGGACGGTCAGCAGAGGGGGAGGACATAGGTTGGTGGGGAGCGCTTCAGAGGGAGGCTGAGGAGTTTGGGAGTAAAGCCCCCCCTCTCTCTATTCTGGCTGGAAGAGTCGGGATACAGACAGTCCTCCACTTACGACCCTTCGTTTAGTGACCGTTCCAAGTTACAAGGGCAACAAAAAAAGGGACTGACGACTGTTTTTCACAGTTAATGACCGTTGCAGCATCCCC